GTTTAGGGCCCCAGGCGTACAAACGAAATGATAAAACAAAAGTTAAAGGTAGTTAGAACCTATGTGTTTTAAAGGAATTTACGTCGTTGGGGATAAACGTTTTCCGATGAAACTTGTTAAATGTTTCGTATAGTATGCCCGCAATGCTATAGTTCAGTGCAGTTTATATTGAGGTTGACACGTTCGATTTTGACCGCTCACGAATATTTACGCTTCCCTGAATCAACAATCACAGGCGACGCCCTTGAACTCGCAGGAATTCGTGCAGGATCTCTTAGAATTTGCCTGAATTGTCCTTGCATTAGCAGTAATTTCACGGGGACGCAACAATACTGGTACGAGTTCTCCAATAACTAACGGAGACATGGCAGCAGTAAAATTATAAAAATTAATATATTCGCACACAATATATGTTATCCTGCAATTACTTATATTGAAAACAAAATATTTGAACATGCACTGTATCATCGCAATGACGCGCTTTGGTCAAAACGCTGGAAGGTTAAACTGTCTAAATATTCAACCAGTACTTTACTCCGAAACCTCAGAGCACTAAGATGTCTCTATTCCAGAAGGTGCACCAAAGAATACCTGCGCCGAAAAGTCTGAAACAAATATGTCCGTATACACCGAAATTCCTGTGCTCTGAAAAGTCCCACACCGAGACGTCCCACACCAATATGTCCGGATCACTGCACGAGCGTGGTGCTTTGTCTCGTGTCTCTTTCAGACGGGAGCCTGTGAGAATCTGACACAAGACGAAGCGACGTGATCTCGCTGCAGTGCGGGGCTGTGTAGCGCTGTGGAAACAAGAACGTCGGCGAAATTTACTCTAGCCAATAGATTGATTTCAGAAGGAAGTTTGGTTACGGAACCGCTGCTGCAATGAGTCGAGAACACTTTAGTCTTTCTGAACTCTAAGAAATGCCTGCGCGTCTACCTATCCGCAAAACACTCAAAGATACAACCTCTGCGATCTACGAAATCAGCTCAGTGAATGATGAGGCAGAACATCCGTTTAGACCTAAAAATGAAGTCTGCGCTGTGACATTACGCAATGCAAAGCGTCATGCTTGCATTGCGTAATGCTACAGCGCAGACTAAATTTTGAAGTTTTGTTCCGCCTCATCATTCTCTCAGCTGATTTCGTAGATCGCAGAGTATAGCTCTTCAAGTGTTTTGCGGCTAAGTAGACTCGCAGGCATTTCTTAAAGTGTGCATATGTGTCAACATCGTTGTAACTCTGGGCGCCTGGCACGAGACTCGTGGGCACTGCCGCCTGCCTCCTTCGAACTAAAGCTGTGGCAGTCTCACCCACCCGCCGAACACTTGGTGAGATCGGTCTATTGACAACGTTGCACAAAAAGGGTTGACGCGACTATTCCTGGTGCTGCAGGGCAATACAATTGTATTAGTAGGATAGAATAAAATTCTATTTTAGAAACTCACATGTCGTGTTGCCGCCCGCACAACCTGTAAAAAATAAAAGCTCGTGTCCACACTATTGACGATGGCCCTCGAGGCCACACTACAACCCCTCGAGTATGTATACTAAGTACTCTGCAGAATGCTTGATTTTAATTCGAACAGACTTACGAAACACAGAGCGTGAAAGGTTGACTTATGCGGTTTGTGCAGGTGAGTTATACGACGAGCGGGACATAATACAGGGGATTAGTCGTCGAGATAAGTAGAATAATTAGCTAAAACGTGTTCGTTAACTTCGTAATTAGTGACAATAAGTGTATGGTTCCAACTAGAAACTTGCTGATAGAGCATCATCTAAAACCATTAAATAAAAATTTAGAGATATTTGAAGTGCGTGGTAAGAACGGAGGTGCGCCAAAGTTTTCATTCGAGTGGCAGGCACAATGCCGGCAGCCCGAAAACGCGAATGATAATCTTTTCATCCGCGTTTTCGGATTGCCATCGTTGCGAACGTTTCATGAGTAGAAACTTTACCTCCGCGCCTGCCGCGTGCTTCAACTATTACCAAACTTGTCTGATACAGTGGTTTAAGATGACGCTCAGCAAGTTTCTGGTTGAAACGAGATGTTTATTTTCCCTAATAGAAGGTTAATGAGCACATTTTAGTTAATCATTTGACTTATCGTGGTGATTAGCTTCCCCATATAATGCCTCCGGCCTTAATTTTTTTTCTCGCAGACTGAAATATTCTACCTGTCACGTTTTTTTTTTTTTTTTAATAAAAAATTGGTTTGAATTAAGGTTAGACACCGTTATAATAATTAATTAGGGTAGCTCAAAACGTACGCAATCACGCTCATTGCAACACTCACACGTTTTATAGCGTCGACCGAGAGCTGTAGCGTTATGAAACCCGTTAAAGCTGTTTTCGCAAATCGTCCGTGGACGAAAACAACATTCCCTCCTTCTTGTTTTTGCTTAATAGACCCTTGCAACGGATTTATCTTGGCGATGCCACGAGATGTTCGGACGAGCGCCTGTAGGCTAGCTTTCGGGCGCGCGTTGATAAATGCGGACGATTGAGCAACACCACGTTCCGAGGTCATGCGTGCTCATGGCTCTCTGGAAGTGATGCCGCGAGCGAGAAGGACACGGGCCGAGCGGCCCCACACAACATCACGTAAACTTCACGGCAATTCATCTTCAGACATGACATCAGTGTGGGTTACGATAACAAATTGGCAAGGTTCAAGATAACCAGAGTAGCAAAGAAGAAAAAAAAAAAGACCTCAACGAAACATTGAAAGAAAAAAAAAAAAAACATTTTGTTAGGGATTTGTTTAAAAAAAGCCATGAAAGTTACACTTTTACGTCATAGAGATTGTCATCGAGGTCAGTGAACTAGACCACTGATCTCTATGACTATTGCTGGATCGCGCTTCCCCGCACCGCAAATGAGGCCACCGTCGGCCATCTTACGAGATATGTTCTAGCGCTGTCAAGCCTAGACAGTTACCATGGGTAACTGTTTAGGTCACGTTAAAACAGAGGCAAAGGTCACGTGACCGCCACCTTGACAACTCTTCAGCGGATCTCGTAAGATGGCCGACCGGTGGCCTCAGTCGCGCAATGGGCTCGAAGCGGGGAAGCGCGATCCAGCAATTGTCATAGAGATCAGTGAACTAGACCAACACTTCAAAGGCTGCTCTCAAGCATGGGCGTCACGTGACATGACGTCAGGTCCGGAAGGCCGGCACGGGCGCTGATTGGATGCGAGTGCCGCGTCACCATTTGCGTGGGACTATGAGAAGAAACGAGGCCCACGGGAACGCTGACGCGGCACTCGCATCCAGTCAGTGCCCGTGCAGGCCTCCCGGACGTGACGTCATGTCACGTGACGCGCAGGCTTGAAATCTGTCTAGGGCCGTGTTCCAAAATTTACTCGATCTTACTCCAGGGTAAGGGTTTTGTACCCTTGGTGTTTTAAAACCTACCCGCGTCCAGCGTTTTTCAATCTGTGCTGTCACGTGAAACGATCCGCCGGAGTTACTCGGATCCATTTGGGTGAGATTAGGAACACAGCCTAGGGGGTGCTGACTAGACGCACCAGAAGTCGCGACAGCGAGACAGTAGGCTTGCGGACGAGTTCAGCCGGGCAGCCAAGACAATCCAGTAGTAATGATCCGGGACATCCGGGACACTGTTTTGTGGGCGCAAACTTATTTTTCGAGGAAAATTAAGAAAAAAGAAATACATATTCCACTAAAACACTTAATTTTTTATTTTTTTATTGTAGTGTTTTAATCGAAATCGAAACGAAACCAAACCCATAAAAACGACGGTGACCTTAATAGGCAATTTTAGCACATCGTTAGCTCAGGCTGCCGTGAGCACGGCAACACTCCTGGCACGCGCTGAAAATTATGCTTCAAAAGCGCAGCGCTAGCCTCTGGTTGCAATGCTGTACGGTACAATAGCACGCGGTCACGCTATCCTAAAGCTTCCTATTAATAACTATAGCGCAGTTTAATCACGTGTTGCAATACACTAAAAACCGCGACGGTGAGCAGCGATTTGCGAGCCTGTGACACGAAGACATCGATACTGTGAACGCTGCTCTTCCGGAGCTGGACGGTCACCATGCGTGGCTCACTTTTTAGAGCCCTAATGGTTAGGCAAAGCGTAAACACCACGATATCTTCATTACCCTCAAAAATATTTTGCTTCAAACAGCGACGTGGCCGGTGTCCGAAACGCACTCGCCGTCCACAGACCTTCACAAGTTGACGTTTTCGCAACTTTTTTACTATCAACATGCTCGTCTTCCTAAGGCGCACCAACATCTGTCACCCATAATATGCTTCTGCTGTGGCCGCTTCAAATTTGTAGACAGATAAATTATTTTTAACGCACTAACCAGCACCAGCGAACTGGCGCACGTGAAAACCTGGAGAATATATCCCCGTCGATTGGGGAAAGCTGTAACTTCGTCAAGATATGACGCTAGTGGTGGAGAGTGGACGCTAAAATTTGTTAACGAGACGTTACCTAGATAAAAAGATAAAAGGGAAAGACAAAATGCCGAATGGGCCGATGTCCACCTAAGCCTTTTTTTTTTTTTTGTCAAGTCAAGGAATTACAATGTGGGCGTCTGTGGCATTTATTTCAGCGAAACAAACTTTTCAGCAAAGAAGAAAACAATTTATTTTTTCTTGCTGACAAGTTTGTTTTACTAAAATAAATGCAAGCATGCTTAATTACGCTATTTCTTTTTTTGACGTAATTAGGCTTGGTTGGATGTTGGCTCGTAGTTCGTATCCTATCTCCGCAGCTAGTTTTAAATTCTAACGGAGCTCCAGATTTCTGCTATGCTTAGTTTATTTGTGCGGACTGACAAAGCGCGTTTCATGGTCTCGATCGAACCAACAAATTAAAATTACACACCCCCTCCTTCTTTTATTTTTCTTATTTCTTGTTTTATTCATGTTTATTTACGATTACAAATTTCCTGAGCTACGCTGTTTACAACTGCGAGTACGTAAATTTTCCTACTTCTTCGATGCCAGGTTGACGCCGCCGTTCTTGATGGTTTCCTTGCTGTTGATCTTGGGGCCTCCGTGGATGAATGGTCCCATCTGGCACGAGACCGTGGACCGCTTCGCCGAAGGCTGCAAGCGCTACTGGTGGACAAACCTTATCTACATCAGTTCGTGGATGAAGAACGACGAAGTCGTAAGAACGAGCTGTGGACCTTCGGACTCGTCAAACAGAAGGAGCTGATACGAAATGTTTTCGCGTCATCTGGAGCTATGCGGAGCGCAAGTTTGTCTGCTTCTTGCAGAAGGGCTCCGATAATGTCAGAACGCCAAATTCTTATTAACCAATTTAAAAAAAATGTGGGTAGGCATTAAGGCATCTAGGATTGAAGTCTTCCCACTATCCTTCCAATCAAAGCTAATCAGAGCTCGGCGTCGTTGTGACGTCACCACAACTCCTGAGCAAGAAGCAGACGACTCGCTCTTCGCACAGTCACTGACAGTTTCAGAAACGCGGGGCATGCAAAGTCTCGGACATCTTATTAAATTGTCACCCCGCAGTTAATGAGATGGCGGCATTAGCCGATAAGAACGCCGAGAAACGAACCAGAAAACGTGAACATAATAAGCCCCTCCCCCCATGCGTTTCTTAAACTGTCGACGACTATAGTTGGTTCCCTTGAAGTCGCCGGCCTGACAATTAAAATTTTATCTAACAAGAAACTGCGATGACTCCGATTTGATCGGGCATGCATTAAAGTCTTCAATCACTTGCAGATAAATGTTTTTGGGCAGCTGCTGCCAATCTACACATAGGTACGTTTGGCACGTGATCCTCTGGCGTGCTGAAATGACAAGCACGCGCTGATTCACTACTTGTCATGCACCGATGAGAAGTTTAGCCAGTGCAGTACAACCGCTAGCCTGGGGTTGCGGCACCACGCAGCTGAAATGATTGTGGGTAGGCCTTTGGTTCCACTGCACTCGTCGAACTCGTTCGAAGGCGCGAGTCAGACGCCGGGTGCCGGCATTCCGCGTGCTAACGCTGTTCACCTGTAACCCTGCACTCTAGCAAAGGCTAGAAGCCGGAGCTACGCTTCACTAGTTGCATCAGCTGCGCGAGAGTCCGTGCAGCCAAGTCCCGTCCTTGAGCAGAAGCCTTCGCTGCAGTACACACTCAACGTTTTCGTATGGGGCGTGTATACACTGGCGCTGCCATAACCGCGTGTATACCCTGCGGCTGTGCGCGTAGCACGCTGAAACCGGATCCCTTGGCGTGCGTTTCGCGTCTTCGAGATCGCCCTTATCGGCTAGCGATATTTTCCCACACGTTGAACGATTCGTCAGATACGAATAGCTCCGCTTGACTGTAAGATTAAACGGCCACGTGCTGCGGATTGTTTAATCTTTATTTGGGATCATAGCGAAGGTTACGGGCACGCGAGGCTACAACCTTGAAACAGCCTCCCCACGTGGGTTCGTGATAACTCATGCGGTGGCAGCCGCTCTCACGTGTGAAGCGCAGCAAAAGGAATCTACCTGTTAGCCTCAAGTTGGCACCCGACGTTTCACTGAGCGACAAATGAGAACTTCCACCTGCGTATCCAGAGCAATCCGAAAGCGTTTAACGCTTGTACTTTTGGAAACGTTAATAGGGACTTTTAGCAAACCGTTAGCATGTCCCGCGTGTCGCACTACAGGAGCCTTTTAAACGCACGCCCGGGTGATACCATGCACCACCGCGGGCGGGGTGCTTAAAAGCATGCTTCGAACGCTCCGGTAGTGCGGCAGGCACGCGGAACATGGTGACGGTTCACTAAATGTCCCCAAAGTGAAGTCGATTGTGCTTTAAAACCACTGCAAATCTACAATTCAAATATCCCTTTTCATAATTCAGTCAAGCAACATTGGCGGCCGCCATATTTTGCGCCACGCTTCCTGCGCGAAGCGTGTGATTGGATCCGACTTCAGACCGAGCACTGACGCAGCATTCCTGTCGAATGGGTTTTGAACCGAGTAGGTGCCGAACGCTGATACGGCGGTGCTCATGTCCAATCCATGCTCAAAGTGGACGCCCAAAATACGGCGGCCCCGAATAATCGACGCAGCAACTACGGGAGAGCGCACACGTTTGGAAAGGGCCTATTCTTCTGTAGTAAACAGACCTAAAGAAGCGAAAATTTCGACTTCCATTCTGAGGCTTCAAGAAGGTCCGATCTGTATTTTGACCCAACGCCAGCGAGCGTTCACGTGCTCTTCTTCAAAAGGGCACTAAGGTAAATGGTCTTTGAGATCACCTATTTATTGTGATAACTAAATCTACGGCCTCAAAGAATACTAAAAAAAACAAAGAAAAATAACAACTTAAGATTAGTTTTATACGGGTCCGATTTCCCTAATAAAAAGAGTACCAAAGATCAAGACAAGCTCATTTTTCTGCAGTTCGGCACAGAAACAGAGAGCGCCGTCGGACGTGCTCTCATTTTTTTTTTTTTTTTTTTAAGAATGATTACCAGTTTGCCTGAATTTAGGCTTTGTGTTTTGTTTTAGCATCACCGAGAAGTTGCACGCCGGGTCTGCTAGCATTATAATATATTAACATAGTAGTAAGGCCTAAAAATACAATGTCATTTTCAAGAACCCTTCCCTTGCAGCCACTCGTAATAGTCACTTCCATCTTTCTTTTCGCAGTGCCTACCACATGGCTGGTACTTGTCCTGCGACATGCAGTACTTCATCATAGCTCCCATATTCTTCGTGGCACTCTACAGGTACGAGAATCTTTTATGTTTATGTTTTTTTACGGCATTCTCGCGCAATGTTGTCTCGTCACATTGCTCATCAAATGTACAGGAAACCAGCGCTTGGATTTGGCCTTATTGGCGCGGCTGCGTTCGTGAGTATGGCCCTCACGGGCCTGGTGACGTACATCTTCGACTTCGGACCGGTCGCGCTTTTCTCCATCCCCGACGACGAGTAAGTGATCTCAGCAATACGATGGAAATTCTCGCAGGAGTCTATCGCCGCGGCACTTTCTTTATAAAACGCTATGCGGGCATAAACTGAGGGGAAGGAGGAGACGAGAGGGCGAGCGAACGTCAGAGCGCCGAGCTCTGGTGGGAATGATTATGATGAGGGACAAAGGAGGCTAGCTTTGTGTCTGTACCCACTAGACTCCTATATATACCGACAAAACCTGGCAGATCGCCACGAGAAGTGGCCGCCGAAATGAAAAAGGTGGAGCGGCAGACAACGGATGAGAGGAGAGCCTAGGTGACTGGCGCCCCGCTGCGGCGGGACACCGAAACACACTTCTCCTGAGCGAACAAGTGTGTTTCGGGTCCTCGCCGCTGCAAAAGCTGTGCGCTGACGTCCAGGTTCCCCGAGAAATGCTCCGTGCTAACAGATCCTCGCACTCCAAATCTGCGAACGGGCACTCTATGGCTCCGTCGTAGAACTGCCAGGATTTGTGAGGATATGCCCTCGCACTTTGAACGCGTTCAAAGAGTGAGTAGAAGCAAAGGCCAGCTAGCTTTACGTCTATACCTAGTAATCATCCCGGTCAGAATTTTTTGTTCCGACCACAATCCTTCAGTTTCTCGGGCGCATAGGACGCTCGCAAAGGTGGGACAACTGAAACTGCACCCGGTCTTTCTCACCTCGACAATGATTATAGACACTGCAGTGTGACGTCACGTAACGCGCGCCTGTTGCAGTAACCTCAACTCGTTCCTGAACAACATTGCCTTTCGGCCGTACACGCACTTCCCGTCGTTCGCGGTGGGACTCCTTCTGGGCTACATCATTTACAAGTACCGGGAGATCAAGATCAGCAGGGTGAGCTGCGCACGTTTTAGACATGTGCCTAGAGTCTGTCTAACTTAGATATTTAGTGGCCGTCGTGCGTATATCCTCGCAAAAGGCCAATTGGAGAAATAAAAAAAATGTTAAATTAAAATAGTTTACTTAAAAGTATGTTCTTGTTTAACTGGTTTAAAGCAAAGTCATCGCACCAAAAAAAAAAAAAAAGGTCAATGTTTATTTTTGGAGCACAGCTCTTAGGCACCTGTTTCCGGCTTGAGCGGCGTCGCCATCAGCGTAACCGTGAGGTCACGTGACCCCGGTGACGTCACGTGACCTTGTGGGGTCACGGTTACGCCGACGGCGACGGCGACGCCGGTGCCGCTCGGAGGGAAAAGTAGCAGGCAGGATGAGGAGGTGAGGAGGAGGGAGGAGGGGTATACCTTCCTCTCAGTACCCTTCCCTCCTCCCCCTCAAGAGCTGAGCTCTAATTTGGTGTTACAGGGAGTTGTAAACGGCTTTCATTTTGTTTTATCTCTAACATTCGGGAGTTTCGGCTTAGCCGCGAAGATATATATAATCAAATATATATAGAAACTTTTAGCGCTCCTATCTGTAAAGAAAGGCCGGTGATAGTAGCGACTAACTTTCATACTATATTGAAAGCAAACATTTCTGAGGATTTTTTAAATTGTTTCTTGTCCTAAGGCTTGCACTAAGGCTATTGCCGGATTAAGCATATGTTATTTCTTCTGAGAGTAGTATCCACTGTTTCATGTACAAACTGTTCTCTGTCCCAAACTCTTCTTCCTTTTCTTTCTTGCAAGTTCGGGTGAGATGGGCTTTGCTATCCAGTGTATCTGTACTCCCCTTCCCTAAATATTATCATTCGTTTAACACGGGGAGCCTAAACTTACGGATCAATAGCTAAATTGAACACATGCGAGGACCCAGTGCCACATTTCCCTGAACACTCTTTGCGCCAATGACATACTCGACATGGTTCCGAAGGCGTCTGCAAGCCCCTGATTTATGGTGGCCATCACATCCACAATGGCAACCTGATGAGTCTTTGGCATTGCGAGGCTGCTTCTCGGTCTCCCTTTCAAGGACGCCTCACACTAAATGAATGGTCTACTGGGTACTAGAGCGGGGAGGTAGGGGCACATGTTAGACGTGACGTGGTCGTCCACTTTTTCACACAGTCGCTAGTGTTGTGCAAGGTCATTGTCTTGCTCGAAGACGTACGGCCGCCCCCGCGTGACATCCTCAATCCAGGACTTTACCACCATGTCCAGCAGTCTCAACATGCGAAGCGGCGTTGGCTCTAAAGCCAGGGTCACGCTGCTCAAATGGCATCTCGCAAAAGACTGTCTGCGAACACGAGTCATCGCAATATCCGAGGTTCGGATGCCGCGTGCTCAACTTTCTCCTTGAACTCATTGCCATGCGGCATTCGAAGCACGGATCTCGCGGTGACTCACTTTTGAATCGGTTTAGAAACTTTCATTTGTATGATGTATAAGCAGGTGACCCCGGCTTTAGGCCTTGAGTGAAGAAATGGAGTGGCGTGGGAGATGGGACACTTCATACACTCTTACGGAGGCAGCTCAGCGAATGACAATGCCGAAACATATGTTTAGACCAAAAAACGCAGTCTGAGTTGTGACATTAAAGGAGCGGCGCAACTATATTTAATTGGAACGTTTTTTAACTTGACACGAGCTTACTGGTACACCTGGGACTCAAGGATAGTCACTTGAAGGTAAACATGTTTGAGAGAATTCTCTCTGGTTGGGTAAATAATAAAGAGATAAGATAATCCGCCAACCAAAAATTGAAATAGTAGCGACCCTACGTTTCGAAACCGTTCGTTTCTTCTTCAGGGGGATGAATGAAGGACAGCAGCTTCTTCTTCTTCTTACGGAGTCGCTCAACATCTAGAAGAAGAAGAAGCTGCTGTCCTTCATTCATCCCCCTGAAGAAGAAACGAACGGTTTCGAAACGTAGGGTCGCTACTATTTCAATTTTTGGTTGGCGGATTATCTTATCTCTTTAAGGATAGTCACGCGCAACGCCACTGGCCAAGAAAATCCTTTGTTGCGGTGTAATTTCAAGGACAAAAGCTATCATTTTCATTCAATCTCTCCTTTGCAAAATTTGATGACGTAACGTGGGGATCGCAGTACACCCAAGTGACGATATTTGAATGCGATTCATAGATTGGACCCGAGCATTGCGTGGGCACTCGACTTGGGCTCGTGATAATTGCTAGCTCGAGAAGCATTCGGGTAGTGACCCGTGTCCAATCGCTGCAACGACGTCAACAGCGGAGCCATAACAATGTCTGGAACTCAGCGCGTGTCCTGCGCTTTGCCAACACCAGCGCGTGGCTATGATCAACACTGGCGGCATATAATCGGCTCCAGATCACGTGGCCGCTTGTTCTGGCTGCGAGTTGAGGGGGTGAACGCTGCTCGTTTTTCTTTAATTTTTTTCTGGGACTTCTGTTGCGTGAGGTGAAAAACGAACGCGTGTTTCATAGGTCATTAACGTTAGGGACCCGTTTTAAGCGGTATTTGCGCAAAGTACAAAAATTGTTGCATCGCTCCTTTAAGCAATGCAAAACGTCACGCTTGCATTGCTTAGTATCACAACTCAGACTGCGTTTTTTGGCCTAAACATATGTTTTGGCATTGTCATTCGCTGAGCTGCCTCTGTAAGTTGCGGTGATTGGCTCTCCGAGTGTTGTGCTAGAAAGCAGACTCACGGGCTTTTTTTAGAGTGTACTGCCAGTCCTCAAAGCCATCGCAGATGAAGGAAATTTGGCGTGCATAACAGTGGACAGATCTGATAGGCTCAAATCAAGTCACATCCCATTTTTCCGGTTCACCATTTAATCTTGAACGAAGTTTCTGTCTGAGAACATGCACTCTAAAAAAAGTCTGTGCGTCTACTTTCCCGCACAACACTCAGAGAGCCAATCACCGAAACAAACGGAGGCAGCTCGGCGAATGACGATGCCGACACATACGTTTAGACCGAAAAACGCAGTCTGAGTTCTGAGTTGTGACATTAAGCAATGCAAACGTGACGTTTTGCATCGCTTAATGTCACAACTCAGACCGGTCTAAACATATGTTTCGCCATCCTCATTCGCTTAGCTGCGTCCGTAAGTTGCGGTGATCGGCTCCCCGAGTGTTGTGCGTGAAAGTAGACGCACATACTTTTTTTAGAGTGTAGAGTGTTTGAATTTGTAAAGCAGGCGCTTCAATCGGATTGGACGGTTCTACCGGGTCTTGTCGGTCATAAACTGCTCTCTTTTTTTTTTTTTTTTTTTTTTGGTGTAGGTCTTGTACCGAATGGCTTCGTAAACCGCATGCCTAATGGACCCGTTTCAAAAGTCGCGTGTCGATTATTAGAGGGTCGGAATCACTGCGCAATGGCGGAGCGATTGCATCGAGGAACGTGCAAGTCACTCCATAAGATCACGAACTTCGGAGCGCGGCTAAAGGCCTGTTCACACATACAGCGGAGCGCTAAGTTAGCGCTACGTGAGCTCTCCAAGGAGCGCTCATGTGGCGCTTCCTGGCGCGTGACTTAGTTCTAACACAGCGCGCGATTAGCGCTTCTGTATCGCTCCAGTAGCGCCTTGTTAGCGCTCCAGTAGCGCCTTGTTAACGCTTCAGTAGCGCCGTGTTAGCGCTTTAGTAGTGCTTCTTGTACCGCGGTGCTGCGGATTAGCGCGTGCACTGCGGTTTCGGTTCCTATGCTTGGGTGTGAATCAGCAGCACCATGGCGGACATGTGGGATGCTGAAATAGAAATGCGACCAATGCTCTTACATACGCGATTAGTGCATATGTGTGTGGACGGCTTAACGCCCAGAAGAGCCTTCTGGGTGCGCGACATCTTTCGCCACCAAGATACCGACAGGTACCTAGTGAACCTTGTTCCTAGGCTGAGGGACCGAAACACAAAGCTCTTTCGAAGGTAGTTATCTTTAACTGCGTGTCTTTAAAACCAGGGTCACGCATATCGAATAGAAAGCGATGAGGTCGTACCCAATCAATTAGTCACTCAAAGTCCATGACTCTGGGTCGCCTGCCCGACCCTTTGCTTGGAGAGCGGCTGTTTTACTTCCGCTTCTTTCAATGCCAATGGAAAAACAACAACAAAGGAATCGCCGTGCACCCGCTGTTCCGCAGCAGCAAGCACGGCACAAGGAGCGTGCATGAGAGCGCTGACAGAGCGCTTCTGTAGCGCTAACAGAGCGCTAACAAAGCGCTTCTGTAGCGCTAACAGAGCGCTAACGAAGCGCTTCTGAAGCGCTAACAGAGCGCTACTGAAGCGCTAACCGAGCGCTACATCACGCGCTAGGAAGCGCCACATGAGCGCTCCTTGGAGCGCTCACGTAGCGCTGACTTAGCGCTCCGCTGCATGTGTGAACCGGCCTTAACACTACGAGCCGACGAGCCAATCAAACAGCGCCGAAAATGCAACGCCACTGCGATCATCACCTTTTTGTGAGTGTATTTTTTCCAGTGTGCCGTGACGTTTAGGGTTTAGTCCGCCATTGTGCAGGGATTTCACAGCTGCCAACAGAGTACCGTATCTTGGAAAGGGTCGACTGGGTGATTCCCCGTCAGTTCATGCAATGGTGGTCCGGGTCATAATTTTGATATTTTTGTTAAAAAAATGAAACCCGTTTACAAATCCCTGTAACGCCGAATTGGAGCGCAGCTCTTGAGGAGGAGTAGGGAAGGGTACTGAGGGGGGTCACGCCACCTGCGGGTAGTCACGTGACCTCGGGGGGGGGGGGGGGGGGGGGCACGTGACCTGGGGGGGGGGGGGGGGGGCACTTGACCCCCTCGGTTACGCCGACGCCGACGCCGCTCAGGCTGGAAACGGGCCCCTAAGAGCTGCGCTCTAAAATATATATGAAAGCCATGTTCTTGGGAGGAACATTCCGCTATATATGAACGCCGTAACGTTTTTTTTTCGCTGAGATATAAAATAGAGAAGCTCGAGGCGTGG